GCATTTTGGCGCGAATAGTGGCGCCACTTAAAACGCGCTAGTATTCGCGCCAAAATGTGAAAAGTGATTTGAATCAAGAGATACTTTGCTGCCCGTCGATTCACATAATAAACTCTTCAGAAAAAAAATTTGAACCGATTCTGTTCCCCGTATAAAAAGTCGGTTTTGCGCTAATGACTGTGCTCTATCGTTCTGTATCATTTTAAAGGTTCTGAGTGTTGTAGTGCAGGAGAAAAAGGCTTATGAGGGAACCTTCCGAAGTGATACCTCCCGTTTCTAGTGATTTATACTTCAATCAGCAGAGTAATTACATATTTAATTTGACAAATGGTTCACTAAATTCATTTATACCATTAGCATGTTCAACATTATTTTTTTGTTGTTGTTGTACGAAAAAAATAAGAAAAGAAAGTGAAAAAATGGCTATTCTATGATCACTTTCTGTGTTTAAGATTTAAATCAAAAAACCTGTTTTTATAGCACGAGAAGTCTATGATGTTACTTAGAAGTCTTTTTCTTTGTTATTTTGAGAAAGATTTGATAAGTTAAGCCGTCTTTCCGTACTGCTATACATGTATGATCGATTCATTGGAGTTACTCGGAGCAAGTGCGTGCTACTGTATTCAAATTCCGCTGTCGTCAAGTCGTGTAATAAACTTGGACAAGTTCCTGTGCTTACTTCTCTTCCATACAGCAGTTAACAGAATCGGTTGGAAATGACTTGAACTTTTCTTTCCCTTAGACTATGTAAGAAAAACTTGTTTGGGCAACTATAGAAATCATTCGCATATGAGCAAGAAACAAAATATCACAATTGATCTTTCACAACAGTGGTATTTTCCTTTCTTTCCAGTTGTTGTTTATTTAACATATATTTATGTGTACACAAAATAACAGCTGATGATACAATAAACGTTGCACCTAGATAAAACAACCATGTGCTTGTTTTTCGAAAGAAAATATATTGTAAAACAACAGCATAGACGATTTCCAATGAGCCAAGCACACTAATAAGTTGAACATTTTCTCTTTTAAGTGCTTTAGCAAAAAATGTATTACTTATTAATTGTATACAACCGATTGCAGTACCAGCTATCATCATCACTTTGATAGGATATGGCTCAAATTTCCATATTAGCCGTCGTATAACACTGTACGAAATGGCAGCTAATAGACCGAAGAATGTAAACTGTAAATTCATTACGGAATGAGGTAATTTCGTTGTAATTAACATTTTTCGTGTAACCATTTGTGCAGATTTTGTAACAGCACAAGTTAATGCTAAACCAACACCAATAAAATAATAGAAATTAGATTTCTCTGCTGTTGATTCGCTACTTGTAGATATATCAGTAATATTCGTTTTGTTCAACGTATGGTTTATTTGTTGTTGTTTCATTGCATTAGATAATGACTCAAATAAAAAGTTGGGTCTACTAGCTAAAACGAGTCCAACAATGGCTAATAATAGTGCTAGAGCATTAATTTTTGTAAATTTTTCTTTTAAAAAGAAGACAGCCATAACCGTTGCGAAACATATATTGGTATAACGGATTGCATTTAAATCTGATAATGGTAAAAAGTAAAATGCAGATAAATAAGATAAATGTGTTGTTGTTCCTGTAAATATCATTAAACTTATTAGTGAACGTTGAGATTTATTCCCAAATAGATTATAATTTTTATACATGGCAAAACAACCAAATACAACTGTTTGTAACAGAAATCGAATGATAATTACATCAAACATATCGGCTGATATTAGTTTAAGTGAAAATATACCACATGTATGTAGAAAATTACCTGTGATATAATACAAAATTCCCGAATGCTTGCTAAAACGATGGAGTATTTTTTTTAACGGACCATCATTTTTTGCTGGTTGTGTTGTTTGCTCATAATCGGCAGTCGATTTTGTCAGTAGGGTACCGTTAGACGAGATATCAACTTCTTCTTCAACAACAGGCATAGAGATTGATTAAGCGTATGAATCAATTTTGAATGTAGAATGGAAATTAGTTTTATACCTAAAAGTAGATTACTCATGTTCCGTGAAAACATTCAAGTGAGTCATTTTTACTTAATTACTAGTTTTCTGAGAGTGAATTAAATGGATTTTACATTTGACAAGCGAAGTTAGGGTATAAATCAGAGATCGTAACGGGCTATTTTTTTTTTCGGTCCAGCTCGTATATATAAGGCCTCATAAAGTTTATTCCGATATTAAAAGCGCTTATGATCAGCCTCAAATTATAATGACTCATATTAGCAATATCTAACAGGTATGCTCAAAAGATAGCCACCTTCGTCAGTTACATTTTGCAAAGACGAACGTGTCTTTTTTCCGGATTCATTGTTAAGCAGGAGTTGCACTGTAATTTTATCGAAAAAAGGCCCGGCTCGAATACTGACCTGTATATCGTGGCCTGATTGAAAGATAATAATTAAGGGTAAATTGCTTATATTAACCGTAAATTTGTAATAACAGCTAAATTGGTAAAGCCTTTATCAATGGCAAAATAATAAGAAAGATACTTAACAATAATACAAATTAGTAAACATCTATCCGAAATGTAAAAAGAAGTACAATCAAGAGAGAAGAAATAAAACTACATATGAAATCTACGCTTATCAAATTCGATAATCTACTGGTGTTCGGGGTCTTAAATTGTGATATTCAGGGTCACTGTATTGATCACTAACCCCTCCCATCCCCTTCAATCTGTCATGGTACCCTTTGCTAACCAATGTGTAAACTATTTCATCCTCTTCCTTCTGCATTTATTTGGTTCATTATCATAGATGACAGGATGAGCAATGTCAGTATTACAACTGTCGGATAACATAAAAAATCTGTTGTATACAATATATTTTCTTTCGAAAAACAGCACATGGTTGTTTTATCTAAGCGCAACATTTAGAAGTTGTTCAAGCACCACATCTCTGTTAGCAGAACATTATGCATTTAGCGACAATTATAATACTGACTTTGCTCACCCCGTCATCTATGATAATGAATAAAATAAATGGAGAAGAAAGAGGATGGAAACAGTTTACACCATTAGAAAATTGGGTGCTTGCTCCGCGCTGGACCAAATTGGATAAAAATTGGGCGCCAAATGCAAAATTTGTCGGTGAATCCGACAGCGGGTTCCTTATAATTACATCTTC